CCTTGTGCTATACAGTATATCCTTGTTGCTTATCTATTTTATACACAGTACTCTGCATCTGTTAACCTCACAGCCCTAATTTGCCCCTTCCCCCTCCCTCTGCCCCGTGGTAACCACAGGTTTGTCTTCTATGTCTATGAGTCTGCTTCTGTTTTGCATATACATTCATTTGTATTAGTTCAAAACATTTCTTAAGTAAGTCACATACCAATAGTTCTATGGTTGGCACTTATTCTCTGAAAGAAACATTTTTAAAAAATCAAGAAGAATAAAAGCAAGAGAAAGTACCATAAAATCTCAGACAATCAAGTCCTGGCTCCACATCAGTATGTTTTTCCCTCCTTCAGGTGATTTGACGACGAAGAGCCTCTCAGGTTGAGCCCCTCAGTTACCATGAACATGAAGTGAGCAAGTCAGTCTAAATGCGTTATCCTCAGGAGCAGCCCATTACCGTTAAAGTTAAGAAGAGAAAGGGGCCACCTCCCTGAAACTCTGGTTTGTTTCCAAGCATTTAACCCAGACCAGTGCACTGCACGCCAATCATCTCAAATTGGGAAGAGACAAATACAAAACACGTAAAACCAGTATGGGGCACCAAAGCCACAAAATAAGTTGATTTAGAGGCACAGAAATGGATACTTTAGTGACTGACAATTTCAGTTACATTCTTTTTTCAGCTAAGTCATACACATACACACACACACACATATACACAGAACATTGTGTGTGTGCATGTGTGCGTGTGTGTGTGTGTCTATACAGAGGGGGAGAGAGAGAGGGGAAAAGAGAAAGACATTTTTCTTGGGTAATAAGTATATTTCTCTTCAATAAGCCATAATACATAGTTTTCATTCAACTTTAAAGACATGAGTGACTCCTCACTTACTGTCAATATCTGATGCTTTAATAACAAAATATTATATTATTTAAAACATAATTTTATAATAACATGTATTTGGATTTCTATAATCAGTCAGCATGGCATTGTATTAGAGCGTGTGTCTCCCGGAAGGTGACAGGTCAGTTTTGTATCAGTGTACCAACTATTTGGAACATTAACAAACTGCAAGACAGGTAGATCTTTCTTGAACATACTGTCAATTCATCAGGAATAAGTTTTATTCTTCTGTACTTTTCTGTATTCTGTACTTGAATGTTTCCTGTTGAGTCATCTAATTTCTCCTTGGATGTCTTAAGGAGCATCTTTAAATATGAACTACTATCTCACAGAGTTTTCAACAACCTTTCACTTGGCAATTTAAAATTTATTTTTTTAATTCCCAAGCCCCATTTGAAGGTGACTGTCTGGAAGAGACTGAGTTACAATTTAAAGACAAGGAAAGATATATCCTAGTGTGTAACAGAAAACAAGTAATTAAAAGGACTGAAGATGATTTGGGCAAATCCCTGGAAATGTGTAACAGAGTAGAAGGCACACCTTGTAAGCCAGGCTGAAAAGAGAGGGAGACAACTACACTTGTTTTTATAGAACCTCTTCGAGGTGATGCAGGAGGTGGTGTAAATAAAACATAACCTCTCTACTGAAGGAATTTATAACCTAGCAGAGAAGATTAGACACTAACACTATGAACTACAGTGGCGGGACAGTGAAGAGGACCAGGGCTTTGGACTCAAATACACTGAGCTTTCCTCCTCGGGCTCTGTGACATTAGACTGCTCAGTGACACGGTCTCATCTTTTAAAACCCAGTGATAGCTTTCCATCAGTTCTGTGATGTGATGTGAAGACAGAATAAGGCATTCATGAGACACAGCACTCTCCCACTGTCCGGTAGACAGTCTTCACACAGAAACCTCCCTCCTTCACCCCCCAAAATATATACACACAGGAAAAGGAGGCAAAAACACTTGCTATTGTTGTGAGCAGTGTTATCTTACCTGATCAAACAGCTGAACTGAAATTCAAGTCAGTTTTCTTGGAATACTATGTAAATGAAAGTAAGAACACAATTCCATGCTAAATCAGGTGTAGCCTGACTATAGAAATCTAAGCTTTTAAGAAAAAAGTGAGGTGGGGAGAAAGTTCCAAAATGAAAAAAAAAAAAACCAACCAAAAAAACTATTCATTGGTATCTTTCAGGTAATTGAGAAACGACTCATCAGATTTTAGAGGCAAAAGCCCTCAGGTCAGCTCAAGGAACAGCATTATTCCTTGATATCAAAGTATAAAAGCCACTGGATGCAGAGACTAAATAAAATAAGGAATGTTAAGTACTTTAAAGCATAAAGTCTGATATAATGCATTATGTTCTCCACTCAGTTAAGTATTTGAGGTCAACCTATACAAGGAGCGGACAATGTTAAGATGAATAATCACAGTGCTTATTCTAAGCATATGTTTTAAAGAAGGAGATGTGGGGATAAGAAACATTTCAGTGTACAGAACAGTAGGTCCCAGTGCAGTGTTCCAGGGGAGTGATGTTTGGATAACGAGAAAACCCATATCAATGGACACACACACTGTAGATTGGATCAAGTCCCATTTTAATTGGCCAGATGCACAGAAACTTAATGGAAGCCCACGAGTCAGCCAAAGAGAAGCAGTACCCCTCCAACAGAAGAGCTCCTGATCAGGTGTGCAGCTACTAATGGCTCTGTCCTCAAAAGATCGGGTTTTACCACATCAGGAATGCTCAGTTCTTGTTGGAGCATTCTGCCATGTAGATTCAGGGCTTATGTTACACTCAGGAAAAATTTACACAGACACTCACTGTTGTTCTTTTTAAGATGACTAAGTTCATCAGGTTCTCCCAGGCTTTGAGTAAAGTGGCACTGGAGTGATCTCCCAGGTGTCTACGAACACTGGCGCATCTTCCAATTCTCAAGCAATCACCATTTTAATGACGGTAAAATTAGAATTCAGAGGGGTACCGTTACTTGTCCAATACCCCTTGTAAACGTAACTAAGGGAGCCCACAGGAGGGTCACCTAATCCAGTTTGGGGAAAAGAATTCTGAAAGAGGCATCAACTATTTACAAGGCTCAAATTGGTACATCAATGAGTCATGCAAGATATAAAGGCCAATGCAGATTTAAGGTGGTATCTATGTAAACACAAGTTGCTCTTTAGTATAAACCACGTTCGTGCGCGCGCACACACACACACACCTGGAGGGATTTTCTGTCCCTATTTAGATAAGTGTTTGGGATGAAATCAGCTTAAACGTCAGATGATGTATTATACATAAAATTCTATTTGGGGGGGATCTTGAAAGATGCCTGAGAAAGACATAGTGGCTGAAACCAAGATCCAAAAGAATCACCCATATGATGATGCGGTGGGCAGAGAAAAGAAACGACGGCACGAGCCCCATGTCAGATGTCGTAAGGGTACACGTCCTAAATTGCATGGAGAGTAGAAGAGATTTATTTAAGGATGGTCAGTGATTCTCCTGAGCCAAACCGGAAGGCCAGCTCATCATCCACACTGGTGCTATTTCATCCTGGGGTGACTGACACCTGGAGAGCTCTCGGGGCTCCCAGTTAAGGTGCTGGCAAGGCATCCTGTAAGAACTGGGAGGCCCCAAGCACGGAGAGGCTGGAAGGGCCATGTGAAGAAAGTAAAGAGGCACTCAGCAGTCACAGGCAGAAAAGGAG